CCTCCCCCCCAACCCCCTCACCCACCGATTAAACCCCGGCATAGCATCTCCCTCCAACACAACCGGCAACCCCAACCCCGCAAGCAAAAACCACACCGCAAACCCAAGAACCCAGTACAGCAGCGTCTTCAGCGTCTCCCGCGTTAGTGTCGCGGTTCTCTCGCTACGAGGTGTAGCAGGGAGAGGGGGAGGAGGTGCATGTGTAGGTGGAGGTGGTAGAGGTTTCCCCCCGCGTCTCACGGGCTTTGAGGAGCTATCGCCGGGCTCGTTGTTGTGGGTGCGGTTGTGCGCGGAGATGGGGATGGGGATTGGGGGGAGAGGTTTCGGGTGTGGATTTGAGGGATTATGGGGAGGGATGAGGGTGTTGATGGATTGAGTGGGAGAAGGTTTTGGGGGGACAGGGGGTGGGGTTGTGGTTTTGGTTTTTGGAGGGGGTTGGGGTGGCATTGTGCAGGAGGGGGGGTTGGTGATGTGTGGGTTAGGTGGATGTTGTGGTTGTGGTTGTGGTAGGGAGGTGTGTTGCGCTAGTGATTGGCGCTAGGGTTGCTTGGCGCTTTTGGTGAGGTGTTGGTTTGGGGAGTGAGTGTGGGTTTGTATTGTGGTTGGAGGGGCGGTTGTGAATTTTTTGAGGACGGGGAGGAAGGGCGAGGAAGGTATGGTTTGTGTTGGGTTTGGGTGGGTGGTGGTGTGTGGTGTGTTAGGCCTGTCGAGTACCTGTGTCGCATGCATTGCAGTTCAGATACTCGTGGTCGTCGAGGAAGGTGTAGAAAGTGGTCTTTTTCATGATGAAGAACCAAGACAAAGTTAAGATAGCGACAATACGAGTAAACTGTTCTTGTATTAAGGGGTACTGGGAACTAAACACTCATAGGAGTTGATGCTTCATTAGCCATCACTGGAATTATGGCGACTCATCAGCCTGCCTGCGTGGACAAATGGTGCTTGACTGCATCGTTTGTAGACCTATTCCAGCCAATAGCATACGTGTTCAGCGTTTGTAGTCGGATCTAGGGATTGATGTGTCGGAATCCATGGCGTCAAAGAGAGGTGAAAGGGCGGATTGGAGGTGAGAGGACGGGTCTCATGACAGCTGTGCTTGGGCCTCCCGGGTTTCAATTCACACTGCATGAGTTTGCTTTGTTTTGAAGGCGAATTCTCTGCTTCTCTGGTCTGTAAACATATAAGAAGACCGTTCATCCACTTGATTCAACTCACTGCCACAACAAACATGAGTCAGGTACCGTCACGACTCCTGCCCCCGCCATCGCCCATGAACGCAGATGAAATCGATGGCATCATCCATGGTCGAAGACATCGGTCGAGGCTGCCGTTACCTTCCAGAGGTACACGACGCCGCGAACCTAGACTTGCTACACCCGCAGAAGCACTCGCTAGAGCCGAAGAACGAAACGATGCAAACACTGAACAGGAAGCAACCGAGGCCTTGATCGATACCACGACAGCAGCAGCTCCAAACCTGTCTGTATCCTGGGCTAGGCGTACTTCCCTCGAGGTCTCATCAGTCCCCGACCCCTACACCTGGAAGTGGCTCCAACTCCTGTCACCCTGGTTCCTCTCGAAGCGTGTCGTCGCCTACGTTAGCAGCTTCTTCGACTCCCAGCCCGCCATCATTGAATACTCGAGTGCTGAGATCGTAGAGAGGACCTCCATCTACATCAGGGCTGAGTTGTCTCCGCATGTCAGTCTCGATGACGAGCAAAAGCTTCGCATCGTGGCTGCGGTCAAGAATGGAGATGACCCTGCAATTACCGTTGAGCTTGCGGCTTGCCCGAAACGTGTCAAGGAGTTGTTGGTCGAGGCAGGTATGGAGTCCTTGACCGATGACTTGTATAAGAAGAGCATTTGCAAGGCTATGGGGATATGGAGGTGTGCTAGGGACCGAGGGGAGTTTGGGGCTGCTGGCACTGCAGAGTAGTTGGTGACTCGGTGGGTTGTGAGAAGCGTTTGGTTTGGTCAAGGTAAGTGCCATGGTGCGAACTGTATTGTCGCATCCCATCTAACGATCTTTTAGCTTTGCCCCTGCTAGATTGGGCGATGCCGTTGGTTGGCCTTGTACCTTCTTCGAGAACTATCGGACACTGGGGATCTTAACATTACCTCTCACTTCATACTACATACCACGAGCTTCTGCCTTAAACCAATCCAACCCACTCTTTACAACAATCTGACCCCATTCTTTATACGTAACCTTTCTCATTCATTGACCAGTACACCCTGAGCAGACTAACTACCAAAGCATTCCCGTCAGTATGCCCCGTTCCTCGGAAACACGACGAGCAACTCTGCGAGCCAGCTTCCTACAAATGCGTCAAGAGGGAGACTTCTCAGAAGAAGACGAACGCTACGCCATTGTCGCCACGCCACCTCAACGTATTCAACTCAGCAGATATGTTGGTCAGACTTTCAGACGGAAGCGAAGAGCTGAACTTGTTGATGTCTACCTATCCGGAGTCCCCGTGCACATGATATGCCGCGATATCCAGTGGTCTATACTTGTTCACTTTTGCAGCACAACTATCCTCGCAAAGTACACTGCAAAACGTCCCGAGAAGAAAAAATGTCTCGTATTGCCAGCCGCGGATTGCGATTCCAAAGGCGTACGCACTGTCATATCCTAGCTGGTCCAGGTGTACAACAGCAAAAGTGCAGAGCCCTTTGCACAAAGCCTCAACGAAGATCTTGTTACGTTGTGTTGTACCGAGCGTGCTCTCCACGTCTTCGGTCTCGACAAGGAACAAGAGGCTCTCCGCGCATATATCGAACGGAAATGCCTGGCCACGAGCTCTGTCAAAAAGCTCCGACCCGTTTGGGAGCATGTGCCCAGGGGTACATACTGGTCGGATAGAGTGCTGGACTGTGTCCAAGAGGGACTCAAGTACATGGACTGCTGCAACGATAAATTTGGGCGCTGCTACTGCAAATCTTTGGATCCTAGCTATGCCGCACACGAAAATTGCCTTGGAGCTTGGGTTGTGACGGACAAGTCGCTGTCAAAGGCGCTGGGCATGTACAGAAATAGTCGAGGGCCAACCACACATACACGCTTTGGTATCAGGAGGTTCTCTAGCAAACTGCGAACGTCTGAGTGGATCTTGAGTGTTGAGAGCGCTGACAAAGTGCGTTCTTTTGGTGCAGATGGGACGCCAGAGCTGCCAGTTGATATCGTGAACCGGAAGGTCTCGGTGAAGAAGACATGTTGTTTGTTGCCCACGTCGTACCAATTGGAATGGATCGATGAAGATGGTGGATACTATCTCGAGACGATTGGTGACTGTCATCCATCCCCGGAACTCGACACAGACGCCATCGAACCTACATCTGTCAGCCGCGAATGGCTCGCAAGCCGAGGTCATCGCGGAGGTGGTGGAGGCACTCTGTCCCGAGAAGAGGAAATGGAGGCACTGGTCCAGCACCGAAAGTGGCAAGCGTGGGTATTGATCCACGCAGCGGGGATCCAAGTGAAAGAACAGTACTGTCCATATTGGCTCCATGGCGACGATCACTTGTTGTGTGCCTTTCGGGAGGATGGGCGTCTTCACCAGCCCAGGCCTCGGAGGCCTTATTTGGTCTCGCGTGTTCTGGCCGAGCCCGCTGTTGTCCTTCTCCCGACGCCAAGCATGCATGAGAGTACCGGTATGTGCCTGCCATCCATCTTGCGTGCAAGGGGCCTGGCATGAGGAATACAGAGTGACTCGGTATGACTGTAGCCACTATGACCCCCCGTGCCTCTTTTCGCATATTGATCTTTTATAAAACGTGGTCCTACCGGTACACTACCAACGTGATCCCATCACAATGTTTGAACCTTGGTGACGTGGACACTATACCATGTACCGGTACCTACCGGCACTGTACGGTACCGTACCTACAATCACAGTGGAGAAGCCCAAACCCAAACACCCTCCCCATCAATCTCCAACACCCATCCCTCCTTGGCAACCCTGGAAAACAACACACCCCCACCCGCCTTGGACGCCCCCTCGTTGTTTCACAGCTCGCCCCCACCTGCCCCGGCGCGGGAACGTGAGACGGGCTGGGGAGGTGGGTGGCCAGTGCACCCGTTGCCGAGACGCGATCTCGCGTGGGTGTCCTGATTGGGAAAGTCCGGGTAGGTAGGGTATGGTACTCTCTTGTGGTGATGGGGGGAGGTACTACTGTACTGTGTGTGTGTGTGTGTGTGTGTGTGTGTGTGTGTGTGTGTGTGCGTGTGTGTGTGTGTGTGTGTGTGCGTGTGTGTGTGTGCGTGTGTGTGTGTGTGTGTGTGCGTGTGTGTGTGTGTGTGTGTGCGTGTGTGTGTGTGTGTGCGTGTGTGTGTGTGTGTGTGTGTGCGTGTGTGTGTGTGCGTGTGTGTGTAGTGGTGCTGTGCGATGGAGGGGGTGGATGGGGATGGGCAAGTATCCATGTACAGTGGGCTGAGATTGTCCATGTGGTGGTGGGTTGGGGCCAAGTACCGTAGGGGTGTGTGGGGATGAGGAAGGGGACGAGTGTATAGGTATGATGCAGTGCAGTGCAGTGCAGTGCAGTACCGTGTCGGAAAGTAATGTACGACAGGGGTGTACCAAACCACTCCCATATCAATCTGGTAAATTGAAAAAAAAAAAAAAAAAAAAAAAAGGCAACCACATCTCATTACCATTTCTACACAGCCAAGTCGCACACATTGCTCTCCATCTCCGAGTCGGGCAACTCGGTGAGGTGTGAGGGAGCATGTAGAGTAGGGCAAGTCCAGTAGGGTAGGGTCACGGGTAGCCACGGGTAGGCACAGTAGGTCCTGTACAATGACGAGGCTGCTAGGTACAGACCACCAATACATCCACCATCTTGACTCAATCGTCCCGTCCTCCCAGGACCCAAAACATCCCAATCCGGCAACCAGCCCACCCCAGCCCGGCACCCGGGCGCTCAATCGTGAAACACTGCCCTCTTCAAACGTCAAAAGAGACAAGCGAGGTGAGAGGGTACGGCATGGTTTCCCCGCGAGGATTTCCTGCCTCTCCACCGCGTTTGCACTCGCCTTGTTTCGCTTGCCAAGAGGATTTGTTTCGGGCCTGCAATATGGATGCGGGACGGAGAGAGGAAGAGAGGGCAGCAAGGTTAGCGGGGGGGGGGGACACTATACATCATCTCTGGGGTGGGGAAAGGGATGGAGAAGGGGGGTGGCAGAGGTTGGGTATTTCTATCTGCCGTTGCCGCTTCCATTCTTGTATTCCAAGCACATCCATTCATTCCTTCATTGTATCCCAAGGGCTTTGCGTCTTTTGTCTCGCAATTGCCTATTCGTTTCTACAGTACACATCACCTTGACCGAGACGTTCGGCTGGACTGAGCAAACAATTTGCATCTTTCTAAACCCCCTATTCCCATCTCCTCTACACTCGACACCAACATGCGCGTCGAAATACTCGCACTCGTCCTCGCGGCCGCCAGCGCGTCTGCGCAAGCTGTGGTGGGCACCGCCTATGGCTTTGGAGCTGGGGCGACTGGTGGAGGCAGTGCAAAGGCCGTGACTCCGACGAGCAACGAGGAGCTCGCTGGATACCTGGCCGATGATACAGAGCGGGTGATTTTGCTCACCAAGACATTTGACTTTACAGGCAAGAAGGCAACTGGCGCGGGCTGTGACCGCAAAAGCTGCAGTGCTTCGAATGGGGGCCAGTTGTACCTGGGTGATATATCCTGTGGGACAGAGGACAATGTCGCCGTTAGCTCGGTCAACTATGATGAGGCCGGTACGAAACCGCTGGTTGTGGGTAGCAACAAGAGTATTCTGGGTGTGGGCGGCAAAGGTGTGATCAAGGGCAAAGGCATGTCCATCAAGAAGAACGCCAGCAACGTGATTATCCAGGGAGTGGAGTTTAGCACCATCAACCCGGCTGTTGTCTGGGGCGGCGATGCGTTGGATCTCAAGGGAGGAAACACCAAGATCTGGGTCGACCATTGCAAGTTCTCGACGACGGGGCGCATGTTTGTCGTCTCCCACTACGACGGCTCGAGCCTGACGCTGTCCAACAACGAGTTTGATGGGGTGACGACCACATCAGCGACTTGTAACTCGAACCATTACTGGACAATGATGTTCATTGGGAAGAACGAGAAGATCACCTTGGACAAGAACTACTTCCATCAAGTCTCTGGCCGGGCGCCCAAGCTTGGCCAGGATGGTGTCTCTGGCCACTTCCACGCTGTCAACAACTTCTTTGAGAACATGAAGGGACATGCGTTTGATGCCTACAAGGGAGCCAATGCTTTGGTCGAGGGTAATGCCTTTGTCGCCGTCGACCAGCCGTCGACCAAGCACACTGCTGGCATCGACACTTTTGTGTCCAAGGGCGGCAATGCCTGCTCCTCAGCCCTGGGCCGTGCCTGTCTTGAGAACAGCGTGGATCCGGCCAGCGGCGAGCTCAGCAGTGGCTCCAGCTCGGGCTTCATGTCGGAGTTTGCCAAGGTCGATGTGCCTTCGCCCATGGAGGCCGGCAAGGTTGCGGCTTTTGTCAAGGCCAATGCTGGTCCTGCCAACCTGGGTGCTGGCACTGGCGAAGCTGCTGCGACCAAGCCGGCGGAGAAGAACGCCAAGCCCGCAAAGGAGGCTGCGAAGAAGCCTTCGAAGAAGCCTTCGAAGAAGCGTGCTGCTGCTGGGCCGAACAAGACGCCTGCGAGCGGCTCTGGCAGCCTCCAGCTTTACAGTCAATGTGGAGGTCAGGGTTACTCTGGCCCCACAGAGTGCGAGGCTCCTGCTGCTTGTGTCAAGGTGAGCGACAGGTATAGCCAATGCATGAACAGCTCTTCCAAGTTCCGTCGCGCTTTGGGTTTCTAGCGTAGGAGTAGAAAGAGTAGCTGTGGTGTAGTAGTCATGGCAGGAGTACGAGTGGGTCGGCTTCTTTTCCCCGAGTAGTTGGTGTGGGCTGGCTTCTTTTCTTTCTTTCCGGATGAACTGCTGGAGACAACAGACAGGGGTGACTCAGTGGTACTGTACATAGGTAGTAGGCTTGGTAGATTCGGTAGTAGGCTATTTTTATTCGCCAATGTATATATTATTTCAGTCCATCCTCTTTTTTCACTTTTCGGCTTTTGCTGGCGGCATGTGTGTTTTTTTTTGTCGATGCTTGCAGCAGAATTTCTTGACCATGCCATGACGTTGGGGGAGGTGGCTGGTGTTTTTCTGTTTGGAGCAGGTTAGCCGTGAGGACCCGCTCAAGGTTTGTCTGTCTGCTGCGGTTAATCAAGAGCGGGGAAGATGAGTGTCAACTGTCGTCATAGGGAGATGGCTCGCAGAAGCGTGACGTGGGTTCTCGCTGTTCGGCACAATGATGCACGGCTGACAGGATGGATGCAGGTGAACTTGTCAGGCATACTGTGTAGAGTAGTAAGTACCAGGGGTAGAGTAGTAGTCATCGATAGAGTAGTAGTCATCGAGTTCAAGATGGGGTAATGGAGGGGTTGTTGTTGTTGTTGTTGTTGTTGTTGTTGTTGTTGTTGTTGTTGTGGACAATAATTTTTCCAGTGTTTGGGGGGGGGGGGTGGAAAGGAAAAACTTAGTTGGAGGAGCCAGTGGGACTGGGTTTATGGGAGACAAGCAAGGAAGGCCCACACAAAGCCCGGGGGGGGGGGGGGAGTGGACGGCAACAGTCAGTTACTAGTGTCGTAGTGTGGACTAGAGTTACTAGAGTACTGTATCTATCCTCTCTATCCGCACGCCAGCCTGTCTTTCCCTTCGTCATGACCCATGTCTGTGCGTTC